GGGTGACGGGGTGCTCCTTGCCGCAGTTGATGGCCCGGGCGCAGCCCTTGGTCTGGATGATGGAGACGCCCAGGGCGGCGCCGCGCCCCACGAAGCAGTCCTCGTCCTGGGCACAGCTCATGCGGGTGCTGGGGCAGTGCCGGGAGGACGTCACCTCGCAGAAGAAGCATTCCTTGGGGCTGGCACCGGGTAGCGCCAACAGCAGGGCCAGTGCCAGCAGGGGCAGCATGGGGGCAGCCGGAGGGGCCGCGCAGACGGGCCGGAAGAAGCGGAGTCTGGATGAATCAGGGTCTGGCTCTGGATCTCCCAGCTCGGGCGCCTTCAGAATCAGGGTCTGGATCTCCTGGCTCAGGTGCCTTCAGAATCAGGGTCTGGCTCTGGATCTCCCAGCTCGGGCGCCTTCAGAATCAGGGTCTGGATCTCCTGGCTCAGGTGCCTTCAGAATCAGGGTCTGGCTCTGGATCTCCCAGCTCGGGCGCCTTCAGAATCAGGGTCTGGATCTCCTGGCTCAGGTGCCTTCAGAATCAGGGTCTGGCTCTGGATCTCCCAGCTCGGGCGCCTTCAGAATCAGGGTCTGGATCTCCTGGCTCAGGTGCCTTCAGAATCAGGGTCTGGCTCTGGATCTCCCAGCTCGGGCGCCTTCAGAATCAGGGTCTGGATCTCCTGGCTCAGGTGCCTTCAGAATCAGGGTCTGGCTCTGGATCTCCCAGCTCGGGCGCCTTCAGAATCAGGGTCTGGATCTCCTGGCTCAGGTGCCTTCAGAATCAGGGACTGGCTCTGGATCTCCCAGCTCGGGCACCTTCAGAACCAGGGTCTAGATCCGATCTCTTCGGGGATGTCACAATCAGGTCCCAGCCTTCAGAACCAGAGCCTGGCTCTGGATCTGGATCTCCTGGCTTGGTGCCTCGGGAACCAGGGTCTGGATCCGGATCACTCCAGGGATGTCAACCAGGTCCCAGTCCTCCTGCTCCAGCAATTTCCAAACCAGGGTCTGGATCTGGGTCTCCTGACTCGGGCGCCTTCAGAACCAGGGTCAGGGTCCAGATCGCTCTGAGGACGTCACAACCAGGTTCTGACCCTCCTGGCTCCAGCACCTTCGGAACCAGGGGACCAGCAGGATCCAAATTGCTCGGCTCCAGTCACTCCAGAGCCAGGTGGGAGCCGGAAGCCCAGCCCCCTCCGAACATCCGGCTCCTGCTGAGCTCAGTGTGGCCCCGAGCCCCCTGCCCAGACTAAGTAACCCAGCAGCGATGACCTCACAATAAGGCTGCAAGATTCTCATTGGCCTGCTCCAGCCAGAGCCTGGTGATGTCACAGGGCGTGATGCCGTCACTGTGATGTCACAGTGAGTGATGTCACCACCAAGGTTGGAGCACAAAGGGGAGGAATATCAACCCCCCGACACACCAACACCCGCTGCTGCCCCACACCTTGGCCCCCCACCAATCAATCCTTGCGCCCCAACACCGCTTAAACCTGGTGCTATTTCACATGTGTGAACCGAGTTCAGTACGTTCTCAGCCTCGCTGCCCAGCCCCACACACACCCCATTGATTCCCACTTGCAGAGATCAAGGCCTGGTGCTGAGATGTGGCCCCTCTGGGGTGGGATGGGGCTGCCTCCATGCCCCGCATGGAAATGGGACAAAGTGGGAGATGCTGAAGGAAACCCCCCTGGTGCGGCAGGGCTGGGATGAAGCAGGGAGTGGGGCGGGGGCCCAGCAGCGCTGCCCAGCCCCACACACACCCCATTGATTCCCACTTGCAGAGATCAAGGCCTGGTGCTGAGATGTGGCCCCTCTGGGGTGGGATGGGGCTGCCTCCATGCCCCGCATGGAAATGGGACAAAGTGGGAGATGCTGAAGGAAACCCCCCTGGTGCGGCAGGGCTGGGATGAAGCAGGGAGTGGGGCGGGGGCCCAGCAGGGGGCGCTGGGCTGAAGGGAGCGGGGTGGGGGGCCCAGCAGGGGGTGCTCTGCCCTCCCACTCATCCCCGATGCCCTCCCTCACCTGTAGCTCCCCGTTATCACCGTGTCCCCGCCAA